TATCTTGCGTAATAAGGGGTCACAAGGGGCCAGAATGTCACATCTTTGACGCTTTATATCTCAAAAAGGGGGAATATTTTGATAAGCAATATTGAACAAAAGATGGTCAGAATAATGTTCTAAACTATATGCATACTTTGAATTTTTGTAAAACGGCCCCATTAAGGACTTGTAGGAGTGGCCCCTAAATATTTTCATTGAGCACTAGGGAAAACTCAATGTCATTCTCTTTAAACAAAAATCTCAATCAAAATCACATCTCATCTTATCTAGAAATTCAACGGGATCTCATCTAGTTATTATTATGTCGCCCCGAACGAAGTCGGGGACGACATATTGATATTGTACGCATGTTTTTTTTATCCAGGCTGTTTCTCGGAGATGGCTGGGACAATCTTCCTGAAACTTTCCTTAAAGGACGATAACTGGTTGTAGTTGTGCAGTGAGGTCGTTCAGTTCCAATATGTCTACCGTTGCCATGGAAACCTGTAAAAAGCGACAAATTTTGTCCGAGAGTGTTCTCTCTGGTCCCTTAAACGTTCGTCATGAAACTTTTCTTATTTTAATGATTAGTATCTGTAGTTCTGCAACTCGTATTTAAAATTTTCATATAATCGATTATTGCCATGGAAACCAGGTGAAAGTTAAAATTCTTTAATTTCGATTTTCTCAATAACTACTCAGGCAATCGTTTTGAAATTTTCAATGTTTATTCCTTGCAATGTGTCAAAGTGATTTCTACTTTCAAAATAATTGTAATGAGTCGCTAACGGTTGCCATAGAAACGAAACAGAAAAAAAGATTCAGATGTACACATGTGTTCTCCAAGGTCTAGGTCAAAGGGTCAAAGTTCGTCGTATCCAATAAAAGTTCTTTTCACAAGGATTACATATTTGAAATACGAAAGCCCTAGTACTTACCGTTCAAACGTTATGGCTATTTACTATGTTCAAGACGAACCCCCCCCCCCCCTTTTTTGAAGCACACAGCCAAGTAGAATACACAGATATAACATATACAACTTACTTAAGTAACTTTTTAAAATCTTCATTCATAAAATTCAGTTCCCGTCATGTGATATTTTGCCATCATTCATTCTCCTTCTGTTTGTCTCTTGAATTTATAAATATTTTATTTTATCTATATATAAAAATAAAAAACGATTGTCAGCTGCATTTATTATCATTTCACGTTTTCTTGTATATCTATCACTTGTATATTATTCATTTCATTAGATAGTGCAAGTATAGTGCAAGTATAAATTAAAAAATTGGTACGTCATTTCCATAGTTTTTATTCATTCATAAATTCTTTGATCCGCTCCTGATGGTTCGCAAAGCCTTGATCACCACTGTATACAAAACATTCATCTCGCCGAAAATGTTCATGATTCCGCTAAACTGAGAAAGTTCACACATGATTTATTATCTCATAACACACATCAGCTCTCTGCAATGCAGAAATGCTCGAATTGATGTCAGATTCGTTTTTCGGTAGAACCTCTAAAATGAAAGTGAAAGAGGGAAATTTTAGAGTTCTCACTGGCGTTACAATACACAAAAAAATTCGGCTGATCTTCTTCATAAATTACATTTCCGAAGCTTTTATCATAGGAAAGATACTGCCAATTAACAAGTATGAGGCTCAGTTCAGTACATCTGCCAGATTTCTTTTATGCAAGTCTGCACATTGAGGAACTTGTAATTTTCCTGCACTACTTTCTTCTCCTACCGATTCTAAAAATAATGAGTGGGATGTACCGAATTAAGGTCTTCCGTTTCCAATGGAAAGGACTGATAAAACTCAATGGTTGTTCAAACTAAGCTTATGGACTTTTGTTTTAGTGATGATAAAAATGAAAGTCTTGTCTAATACGGGGCGACATATGCTATTGCTTGCAATAGCAGACTTTCTAGTTATTATGTTCCCCAAACGAAGTTGGGGAACATATTGTTTTTACTCTGTTTCTTATTAAGGTCTTCCGTCTCCAACGGAAGACCTTCTACTGATTCTGTTGTTTCTTTTCCACTATTATTAAGGTCTTCCGTCTTCAGCGGAAGACCTTACTGTTATTCTTAGGTTTCTTTTCCACTATTTTTATTATTATTATTATTATTATTATTGTTTTTTTTCTTACCGATTTTGTGCACGCGAGTTCTCGTAAACGGCTCGCTCGATTTTCATGAAACTTTCAGGACTGATAGGGCATGGAAAAAACTAGATATATATTTTTTTGTTTTGATGACGTCACTTCCGGTTTTGAGATTTCCACGTTTTAGTGATTTTCAGAGGGTCACTTTGTCCGGCAGTTTTCTCAAAAACCACTTCACACAGAAGCATGAAATTTTCAGTGATGCTAGAGCAACCTTTGGAGAAGTGAATTTCGTATATCACAACCACCGGAAGTACGAAGTGCCGACGCTCGCTATGGCCCGAAAATAGTCCTATCAAGAATTTCAAAATTTTTAACACATTTTCTACGATAACTTTTTACCTAGAAATATTTTGTTAAAGCATGTAGAACAAAAGAAGTGTAGAATTCAAAGATCTTTCAAATGACATCTCGAAAAAAGGGCTGGCCCTTAAAATTAAGGGCCTAGAGGGGCCGAAAGTTTTTCCTTTTTATCTCAAAAACTATTGAGAATTTGTAATGCGTCAAAGAAGCAAAGTTGTTCAAAATATTAAGTTAAATCTATCGAAGTCGTCAAAATATGTCCGGCGTCGTCACTTCCGGCCAAACCGGAAGTAGTCGAAAAACTCGTATATTTGCCGTTCTTGACAAGTTTTTGGGTTACATTTGTCTCTGGGAGCATAAAAAGTAATTTTTCCGTCCGTCGTCGTCACTTCCGGTCAAACCGGAAGTAGCAAAAAAATGGCTTATTATGAAGGTTTTGATGCAAAATTGAAATTATAAAGTCACTGGAGACTACTTAGCTCATTGCTTTTTTTTGTTCCGGCACTTCCGGTCAAAACCGGACGGAAGAACTACTCGTTGCTTTGCAACGAGCTTTGCTCTAGTTATTATTATTTTTTTTCTTACCGATTGTGTGCAGACGATTTCTCGAGAACGCCTCGACAGTTTTTCATGAAACTTTCAGCAACGATAGGAAACTACTTGAACTTTATGCGTTTTTTTTTATTTTGCAGTCGTCACTTCCGGTCGCGAGATATGGCCATTTTTCTGTTTTTAAAGTGTCATTTTGTCCGAGAGTGTTCTCAAAAACGGTTGGAGATTGGGCCCTGAAACTTTCAGGTATGATAGATTATGACTCGTAGATTTGAGAAGGCTATATGGTTTTTGTTGCCGTCGCGTCCGTCGTCCACCGGAAGTAGTTTTAAAATATGCAAAATTTTATTTTTTTCTTTTTAAAATGTTTTTTATGGAGTCAAATAGAGTGTCTCGAGTAGTTTTATGTCCACCGGAAGTTATTTTTTCCAAACCGGAAGTAGTCCAAAAAATGATCATTTTTCCTCGAAATTATCAGGGATGATTCCTTTACACTCAGAAAGGAGTTATAGGTCATTTTAAGTACTTCCGGTCACACCGGAAGTGAATTATAAAGACCGGAAGTTGTTTGAATTTGATGGATTTTACTCTTATATGTGTTCTCACGTATTTTGAATAATCGATCTGAACACTTTTTTCATTTAAAGTTGATTTATACCCTTATCAAATATCGAACGGAAGACCTACTCGTTGCTCGCAACGAGATCTCATCTAGTTATTATTATTTTTCTTCTTCTTCTTCTTCCTGGGTACTTTTTTGTCCGGGAGTGATCTTGTAAACTGTTCATCCGACTTAGGTAAAACCTTTTTAGGGTCAGTAGGCATGTTATGTAGATTTGCGGAACGAAGGTCATTTTGCGCGCACGTGCTTGCAAGAGCGTGCACGTGCAACACGTGAAATGACCGATTTAATTGATGTAGGCGTAACTTTTTACATTTTTTATGAAATGCTTTGAAACTCATCATATTAGGATATATTAGTAACATAGACAATATGACATGGTCAAAATAGCAAGATCTCACGCGCATGCACGTGCGCTTCGCTCGATCTGATTGGCTGAAACTAAAGTCTCAATATCTTTCTTGTTTTTTGACAAAATCCTTTGAAATTTTGAACTTTGCCATGCATTAGGATATTCTACAACATGATATATAGCAATTATCATGAAAACACGTGCATGCACGTGCGCTGCAATCTGATTGGCTAAAACTTTAAATAGGTATAACTCCCTTGGTTATCAACCAAACAGGATGGGATTTAGAACATAGATAGATATAATGGACTTCTACAAGAAAGTATGGTCACCATACACATGCATACACGTGTATGTACGTGCGCTGCAATCTGATTGGCTTAAACTTTAAATAGGTATTACTCCCTTGGTTTTCAACCAAACGGGGTGGGATTTAGAACATAGATAGATGTAATGGACTTCTACAAGAAGGTATGGTCACCATGCTCATGTATGCACGTGCGTGCACGTGAAATGAGTAAAATCAAAAATACTCTTGAATGAGCGTATTTTTTAACACTTTTGAATTAAATACTTTCATATTTAGTATATTAAAATATATAGATTGTGTAGACATGATGATATGGTCATTATGCACATGCATTCACAAGCGCACGCGTGCAACGCTAAAATTTGAATGAACTTGGTAGACTTCTGGGTAAACGTTGTTAAAGTCTCAAATGCATAGCGTTTGTCTTATTTAATGAAGCTTACAAGGAATATGGCACCAAAAGGGAGTTGGGGAGCGTTTGGGGAACATCTGTAACGGTCCCCGTTACAATTAGCACTAGTTCAAGATATTGTTCACATTTTCAAAAGATTTTCAAAATGGTACATTATAATTTTATCCAGCATTAACCTTAACTTTACACTTAACTTTACATAGATCCATTTCATGGATTAGTTTTTCATGGGTGGTGGGTGACTTTTTGTTCCAGTCACAGTGAAATATACTGTAGATTAAATGGTTATTTTCTCACCCTGATATTTTTGATGAACTTTTCTGACATCCAAACCATCAGAATAAGATGTAGTCTATCAACCACGAATATCCACAGCAAGATAAACAGGATCACCGGACTCCTGTCAATAAAATTAATAATTAATTTAGTAGTAATGTACTGCAATGGTGAATTAAACTCATTGTTTACATTTGTATACAATAAAAGGAGAAAAGTATCACAGGTTTGATCAGGAATCAAACCTGTGCCCCCTGCATATCAGTCAGGTGCTTTATCGACTGAGCTACTCAGGCTGCTATCCGCGGCCCAAACCATTACAGTCCTATCTCCTTAAATTGTCTTCACCCTCTAAGACACAAACCAAGTACATATTTATTTACTCCTGGCAGGACTTTCACCTGCAAGAGTCCAGGGGTGGTTATAAAAAGGAGTCAAATCTTTAACACTGGATGCGAGAAATGTATGGCTGGACAGCTGAAGTTTGGTATCTCAAACACCATGGATATGTTAAATTGATTTGGAACTAGTCTCTCAAACACTTATCCTGTAAGTATTTTACCCTGGATATCTTGAATCCTTGTATATCTCAATGTTTTTTCTTGGTCCCAGAAAATTTGAGATATAACAAGGTTTGAAAGAACTTACACCAGAACACTTGAATTAATATTTTAATTGACAGTGATCATGAATTGGTGGACATAAAACCATCACTCTTCCATAAAATATTAATAATTACATGTGTTGCAAAACGGAGATAAATAATGTTTTATGTATATGCAGATGAGCTTAAAATAACCAAAAAGAAATTTGTCATTTATTCTGCACTTACTTACGTGCTTACAAAGGAGGCTGTCACAGCTAAAATGGTTCCATATTCAAAGCTACTGAGCTTAATACCTGAAAGGAAAATGGTAAAATCAGACAAAGGTATGATAAATCTTGTAACAAATTCTCCATATAATCATATTCCAAGTAATATATTAGTACAAAACACAGTTTAACACAAATTCAAATAGAATATTCTGTATCTCAGGACAAGACCTTAAACAGGGTTAATGGACAATTTACATTTTAATGTTGAACTTTTAACACACTAAATTGTGTCCAAGCCCTTACCTCTCATGATAAACCTAACATTTCCTGCAATTCCTAAAACCCATTGCACTCCAATAACAGCATTATTCCTTATGTAATTTTTGAAGCCAGCATCCATAGTTTTTCCTGAGCAATCCTGAAGTTCCCAGTCATAGGGCCAAGTTGTGTATTTAAGCCCAGCCTTTGGGTATCTTCTGTTGTATTCGCTGCGTTTTCTTTTATCTCTAAGAAACTCAGAAGCTGTATTTAACAAAATTGTTTTCTCATTGGCTAGTGGGTCACACTGGAATACAGGAAAATTGTTACATTATCGAATTAAAAGAAATATTTAGTGTCTCAAATACCGGTATTTCATAAAATTTTGAATTTACGATCAAATTTTACGCATGTTGATTTATATTTTTAATTTGACAATATTCCTTCAGTTGCTCAGAGAAATAAATTACATGATTTTTTTCTTCAAAAGGCTAGTTCTCTTACATGCAGAGGCTTAATTCATTTGGTGTTGTTTTTATTTTTATTTCATTAAAAGTTTTTAATTACGACAAAATTTTTCTTCAAATTTTAATACATAATCTAAAAAAATTAATGAAACTCTCTGTTGATTCAAGCTTAGAAAGCATCAATAAAGTTGCAAATTTAACACAGAATTTTGGGAGCAGCTACATCAGGTGTTTTGTAGATCTATACATAAATAGGACTTGCCTTGTTTTTGTCTGGATGGAGTTTACGTGATAAAGCTTTGTATGCCTGATTAATTGCCGCTTGGCTTGCAGATCTTTTCACATTGAGCACATAATAATAGTCTGTTTCGTCAGGATTAAAACAGAGAAATAAACAAATCTGCACAATAAAAACCGTATCGAAAAATCCTACTTTCATTTTCATCAGTTCATTCCTATCATCTTTTGTTTTTATAATTTAAAATAAATGATTACAAGTATTTCTAATCCAAAACACCAAAACCAATATATCGTTAAAAAAAAACAAAACTGGAGTCGAAATTACACATCCGAGGTTATGAAGATGTTCTTGAAAAACATCGTTAATTTTGCATGACACATGGCGGGAACGTATGGACATCAACAGATCAAGAGCAAGTAACTGTGAGTGTCTGAACTTGGTTCAAAATGCAAGTCGTAGATTGTGCACATCGCCCATAATCATGGTCACACAATTTTCATGAATACAAAAATAGTATTTTTGAACAAATCATATTGTTCATAGAAAATTTTCTCGAAATATTTTATGTTCAAGCTACTAAGTAATAACGACGTCATCAAACTATGTGCTCCTGACGTTTTACACAAGCAACTTTTCGGAAATGGCTTCAACACACGAGTTAAAAGATGGTAAAATGCATTTAAATTTAGTCATTGGTGCATACGAAGGTGCATTGTGATCAGAATTCACGTATGGTCTTGGTACTTTTTGTTTCTACCAGGAATTCACAAATTATCTGCCTAAATGTTACAGAATAGAGGACTCAACAATCCTGGCATGTTAGGTCATGTTTTGAAAATAGCTGCAGAACTGTAGCTTCCCGAAAAAAACATATTGACAGTTTGGTCCTTCAATATATATATATATTCTAGATATGGCAAGATATTGGTACTGCGTTTTTAGATTACCAGGCTACATTGACAGTCCTTTAGAAATTTTCTTTCATTTTTCAATGGTTTTGTACTGTATCCTAATTGTTACCTTAATATGTTGATGGTACGACCCTTAAGGCAAGCGCAGATATTTCTTTTGTTGTAATTTAGATCGGACCTTGTCAAGCAGCATGTGCATTTGATGCGTTAAGATTCTGACATAACATGACGTCGTAAGTAAGTTACATTACTAAAAAAGAAGTCCTAACAGTGCTGAAAATAAATGAAGAACATTTCCTTTACTCTTATCTTCAATATTTATCCTTTAAATCAAGGTGTGTTAACTTTTAGTTGAACTTTTGCTGCTATTCTCGCGAGAATGTAGCTTTAACAAGCGATGCATTGTGGGTCCACAGGGTTCTCATTAAGTGCTGCAGGCGACCGGCAATTTCGCCATCTATTTACACAATGGCGCCGGTTATTTCACTTTCAAAAATCAAAGAAAAAATGTAAAGAAAATCAGTACTTCAGAAGAGGTTTTTGGTTATCCCCTTTGTCTTGTTAAACGTACTGAATGAATAACGTAAACATATAAAAATTGTTGTTATTTGATGCTTTTCTTGTCTGATTAATATACCCTTTATAAAATCGTGGTGATGATTCAGGAATCGCTATCAATCACTAGGCCTATGTAGCAAAATAAATACACGCAATAAATTGAACTCGGTGCTGAACTTCCTAGGAAGATTCCAGAGAGTTCTGAATGCAAACATGGTGTGTAAATTTGAAGCAAGAAAAAAATTGTGAAAATTAGTTGAATAATCGTCTTTATTTGGATTATACTTTAGGTTTAAAGGCATACACAACCTCAACAAGGTTTTTTGTAATTAATTTTGAAGTTATTTCTAGTACAAATCCTTTTGTATACTTCAAATTTGTTTCGGAGTGATTTTGCAATTGTTTGCTACATTGCGAGTAAATGTGGTAATCTAACTGTAGTTAGGGCTTGTCCCAAGACACAGTTAGATTATTCTAACTACCTAGAAAAATACAGGTGCATCAATATTTTCTAACAAAGAATAACAAGGGTGCCTTCTGAATGGAATTCAATGAAATTGCAGATTTTTTATAATTGTGACAATACAGTGTGCATGTATCTATAGTTAACAAGCTTCAGACACTCAGACTCTATAGTATCCTATACATCCAAACAATGTTAATATTTTTATATAATTTAATTCTGGTTGTAACAATGTATTTGATTGGATAAAAAATTATTTTATATCGTATAAAATGGGTTGCCTACGTCACAATGACTTGCGTCAAAAACGTATCAATCCGCCTGACGTTACATTCAAATTTTGTACAAATTTAAGTCATTTTCTTAGAACAGTCATCTTTATTTCTAACATCAAATGAATGAAAATTAAATTATAAGCAATGAATTTAATAGCTACCCATTTTATACGGTATAAACTGGGTTGGAACAGTTTACGCTTTTTTATAAACCGCTTTGCGGTTTATAAAGCGTAAACTGCCCCAACCCAGTTTATACCGTATAAAATGGGTAGCTATTAAATTCATTCCTTAATTAAACAACTGCTACAAAAAAGCAACAAAAATTTGTTTAAATAATCTTTATTTACCACATATTACAAAAATCAAGGAAGTTTAGATCATCATAGGCTGTGTGCTACTCCTGTGATTTTTTTTAGCAAAATGTGCTCCTAAAAAGTGTCATATTGAGAACAAATGAAACAAGTCAAAATATGCCCAGATAGGTCCCAGAAGTCACCTCCTGCAATGTAAGAATTAAAAATTTTATGGGGGAGGACCCCATAACCCTCCGCTTGCCAAAAGGGAGGAACCCCCCTCTCGAACTCACCCCCCCCCCTCACTTCAGGCCTTCTGCCCTCAAGTCTACAGTGCCCCCTACTTTTTCTTTTTCTCCACCTACTCTAAAAATTAATGAGAACCCTGGGTCCAGAGTTACTGAGGAAAAAAAATCTGACAAACGAATGTGCAGTAGTCTGAATTTTTTCTTTGCCCAGGCGTTGCTTTAAGAGCTTTCAATGATGAGTGTCGCAAAGCTCGCTATAAGTAAAGGATAAATAGAGAGTGTACCCTAGGTTACAAAAGTATCACCTAAAACACAGTACCAATTTCTTGCCATGATTTTTTCGGAGAGCTTCAGTTCTGCGGCTAGTTTTGAAACTGACGATGTCCTATGCTAATATGTTTTATTGTCCCACTGTTTTGATGAACACAGTTGTATAATGTATTATACAGCATACCGTAAAATTGTGTACATAGCTTAAACTGTAAGCTTTGATCTGTCTCTTCAAACTTCAAACCACACGACTGTATAGACTTAAGTTAGAATAACCTGTGTCTAGGGACAAGCCCTCACCCAGTGTCACCTAAGGTTTTCAATCATGTTTACATTTTAACCTCTCTGGAGTGTGCATAGTTAGAATAATCTAACTATGTCTCAGGACAAGCCCTTACCACAGTTAGAATACGTCCCATATATTTGCAGTGTAACAAATCGTTGGAGATCTGCTCCAAAATGATTTTGAATAATTTAAAAGGTTTTTGCTGAAAATAACTACCAAATTAATCAAAACAAACCTTAACAAAATTGTATGTGCCTTTTATCAAAAAAAAAAAATCCAAATATAGTCGAAAATTCAATTAATTTTGTCAACGTTTTTTCTCCCTTCAAATTTACATGCCATGTTTACATTTTGAAGTCTCTGAATTCTTCAGTAAATGCAGTGAGTTCAAGTTATATTTAGAGTACGAGTTTCCTACTGTATCAAAGATACAGGGCTGGGCTTGAGGCGAGAGCGATAGCTCGAGCCGGGCCCCGCCCTGTATCTCTGATACAATAGGAAACGAGTATTCTAAATGACTTGTGACATGACCTTTCTAATGACCTCACTAATTTACATGCGTATTTCCGTACATATCTCTCAACCAATCAGATGATTTTGCAGAATCCCATTTTAAGCATTCACAACTGCAATGCCGAGAGAGGTGGACGTGCAGGTATTATCATTTTAGAATAATTATTTAGGGGGATGCATTATACAATTTGTTTTCAAAAAAAAAAAAAAAAATTTAGATTTGATTGCGTAGGTTTTTTTTCTCTATTCAGCTGTTATCGACATTTTTTTTTTAATTTAAACTACGATTTAATGCAAAACATTTTGATATATAAGAATCATGTGGGAATGTTTTTGAAACAAAAATACTTCTGGGAAAACGTATTCTGAGGCAAATGTCCGACAATGTCCTCCACCTGTCGTAATAAAAAAAAAATTGAAGAAAACAGATGAAAGGAAAGCGGGAGGGGGGGGGGGGGAAGGGTATTTTACCTTCACGTTTTTAATAAAATGTAGAGTAACCGAAGGGGACCCCAGCACTCACGGGGGCCCCCCCCCCCCTCAACACTCCTTTGAGATTTTTTCTTTTTCGCTTTCGTAAATGATTTTTTCTGAACTTGTATACATACGCTTTTTAATTTATCAACAAGAAACGATAGCACCACATAGTGTCGTTATACATAGTGTTGGTTATAAATCCCCCCCTCCCCCGAAATATACGAGTTTCCACTTATTTTTTGTGGGGGTCAAAGTAATCATTTGTGAACTGTCCCACTCCTTCCTTTCTTAAATTTTTGAATCCGTCACTAATAACTTTACGTTGTAAAATTTTATTCTTAATTTACCTCAGATTTTGAGTAAATACTAACAGTGCTTTCATTGGAATTGAACGATTCTTGTGTCTGTATACAGATTCAGCTCTCCGTCATCGTACTGTATCGTTGATATTTTGCCGATACAGTACAGTTTCTGCTTATTTGCATAAGAAACGCCCACAAAAAGTGTTCTGTATCGCAGTTACAGTATGCTTGACTTCAAAGGAAAACTCGCCGGGTCATGTCACAAGTTCAAGTTATTGCCTGTGTTATGTATAAGAAAAAGTGTGGGTCAGATGCACATTCAAAGGGTCTGTAGGCAACTGCAAAGAAATTTTTTTTAGGCCTAAGCTGTTACCGCTTTTTGATTGATCAGAGTGAGATATATGTGTAAATGTATTTACTAGTGAATAAAGAGGGGACATATACCCTTGTACATTGTATATCACTCTGATCAATTATACAATGGCTTCATTAGTTAATATTTTGGACTGGAAAGTATATACAATTGTATATATTTCTTTCACCTATGCAGTGATCAAAGAGACATTGGAGAACCGAGGTGCGCTTGGTCAGATAAAAGCCAGGATCAGGGCAGAAGTGTTCAGTGCTCTAGATGACCAGAGTGAAGTGAAACCACCTCTTAGTAATGAAAATATGATCATCAATGAACTAATCAGAGAGTATTTAGACTTCAACAAGTACAAGTATTCATCTTCTGTGTTGGTTACAGGTAAGTTCATGTCATGTGGAATTGTGAAAATCAGCAGAAAAAGTGATTGATAGGCTTAAATACTTAATCATCATTTTTTCTATTTGAGGAGAATATCTTTGACGAGTTATGCATAAGTGTTGTTATGAGCTATTACAATTCTCTTGGGAATGCCAAAACATTGTAACTCTTGACATCACCTTTTAGTGGCATAGCTTTAACAGAGTTCACAGGAGAATAGGACTTGATTTACATGATCATGTATTTTGATTTAACCTATGATTTAATAGACTTATAAAGAATTTTTTATTTATACATACCAGTAAATAATTTGCACACATTAGTACATGTAACTACAAGGAAGTGCTTCTTTTTCATCCTCTTTATTCAGTTAAATGTTGAACTCAGTTTGAAAGGTACATGTATCATGACTCATGATTTTGTTTTAATTATAAACAACAGCTGTATTTTCTACAATTTTAAATTGTTTTTTTTTCTCTTAACAGAATCAGGACAACCTAAAACACCATTAGACAGAGAATTCTTGTCAAAGGAATTAAATATCAAGGAAGATTACAGGTCAATGTCAGTGTAAGTATATGTATATTCATTGGACAGTGTTGTCACAGAAACATAGTTTTGTAAGTGTGAATTGATACACCATATTGTATATCAAAAATTAATATAAAATAGATAGACCTACAAACATCTTACTTTTATTTTGAACCACATAGAAAACAATGTATTTTAGTACATTCAACTTAGAATTCTTAAAATGGAAGCAATCCATAAAAAACATACCTGTATTTAATTTCTGTAACCCTTAATAAAAAAAGTTTGGAAAATGTGTGTAGTACAATGTATTCCAAATATTGGAAAACATCCAACTGTAATAACAATTTTTGAGGACATTTTCAGAAAAACAGTGTGTACAGTTACAAGTTCATAATACAGAAACTGATAATTAATTATTATGTACAAAATTTAGAGTCTTAAATAGGTCCAGTTAAACAATGTCCATCAAATTGAACCAACTGAATTTTGGAAGATTATAGAGATTAAAGAGGTGTAATCCTTGCTCTTAATTTGTTGCTTGTACAGACACTGTATGAGTTATCTTTCTTGCTGCTTCAGACCTCTTTTGTATGGCATTATATCAAACTACCTTAAGGACAACCGTCCCACATCACCTTCCAGACAAAGACCTCATGGAGCATTCCTACAGCAGCTAGAGAGTGAAATGGGTGAGGCTATTACACTATTATTTAAAAATAGAAGAAATGATGAGGCTGGCGAAGAAGTAAAGCACAATAAGGCTTGAAAATCTTTTAAAAAGTATTTTCTAAATAGGATTCCTATCTCAGTTTTATTGGTTTAAATGAACAATAAGAATTTTTTATATGTGCATTTCAGAAAATGAGCAACAGCCCTTTGTTGTAATGGGAGGTAAAAGGTGATACTGACACAGTACTAAAATTAGGACTGATCTGATACGCCCTATTCCTGTTGGATGTGATCACCCATCTTAGTGATGGGAGGTGTACTGATATTAGAGGGTAGAGAGATGAGTTGTAGTGATAGAGAGATGTGAAGATTGTATAGGTAATGTGATGATGCATACAGGTTATAATATGTAAATAGATTTGTAAGATATTTAAATACATGTACTTGGTTTTGAGATTTATGTGGGAGGCTATACATGTAGGAGGTAATACGCAAGAGACTGGGAAATGAGATATAAATAGTGAGCCTGTATAGAGAGGAGATGTGAGATATGATGTAAGTTGTGATGATGGCCTGTATGAATGACCCTGTATGGAGGTGAGATGTAAATTGAGATGTTAGCCTGTACAAAAATATGGTGTGAGATGAAAGTGGTGATGTAATCATGTTCAGAAATTAGTTGCAGAAATGTAGCTCTCCGAAAAAATATATATTGATAGACCAGAGAGCTACAGTGCCACCCATTGAAAAAAATGTATATTTATTGTGCACAAAAAAGTGCGCTGTTTCTGGATTAATTTTTCCAAATTTTTACCTCAATTGCAAAAAAGCTAGATTTCAATAAAGTCCTTACTCCCTATCAATTACTTTTGTAGTTTACATCTGTACGAAGCGCGTTGGACCGAATTATCTTGCAAACCAAAATGGCAGTATAAATAGGCGAAATTTTCGATGATCTCAATTTACGGACCAGGAGGGCTATTAAAAACAATTATAAGGAATGTTTTGTTGTGGAAACAGTGAAAGAATATGTTAGGAACACACGGTTAGTAATATTTCGAAACGACATTTTTAAAAACATAGAGAAATAAATCGAAAATCAGCGCACTTTTCTATGCGCAATAAATATACAGTTTTTTCAATGGGTGGCACTGTAGCTCTCCGGTCTATCAATATATTTTTTTTTTTGGAGAGCTACAGTTCTGCAGCTAGTTCAGAAATATGAGATGAGAAGTGAGATGCGATTGGAGCCTTTGTAGAGATGAGATGTGAGATAGGACTTGAGTCTGTAATGAGATAAGATTTGTTTTTGATTTGAGCCTGTACAGATATGAGATATGATGTAAGTCTATATAGAGATGAGGTGTGAGTGATATGAGCTTATACAGAAATATGAAATAGAGAATTTATATGTGTGTAACAAAACTTGTACAGACCTGAAATATTATATTGAAGTTGATTATAAAACTGATATTTTTAAATTGTTGCTTAGTATTTGGTGTGAAGTTTGGGGAAAATCCCCCTCCCGTTTGGCCTTCCTGAAAGAAAAGAAAAATTTATAAAAAATTAAAAACAATTTAAAAAATTATTAAAGACGAAAATTATGATGAGTACCAGGCTCTCGTTATTTCTCTGTTGATTTTTACTGCTGATTCTATACTTTAAAATAACTATAATGAAGGGTGTTGATGAAAAAAATATCTACTTTATTTAGCTCCTTAGGATCGTTTGGAATAAGCATGAAGGTTATTGACTTGACGGTCGTTAAATGCTTTACATTTACATGTATATCAGTATTTAAAATCATTGTGGACAGGATGACAAATTTTAATAATCTATGCTTTTTTAGTGTATATCATTTTTAAAGGGTAGATCATGTTTAAATATATTCTGCAAGATAATAGAACTGGATTTTTATCAATTTTTAAATCGAAACTAATGGTCCAAAGTTAACAACACGTAACAAGAATCTTTCTTGATTTGTAGTTTTTGTAGTTTCTGTATGCCATATCAAAGCCTGAGTTACCGGTGTGTCGATTCGCTTTGAATTTTTTAAAAAAGGATTGCGATAAAGATTAGCTGGGGCCGTGGGGTCATGATTTGCTAAAAAAAAGAACCAGGTTTTAAACCCTCATTGCATACCACTGCCATTTTTAGTCTGCAGACAACAGGAATTGGTCGTTTAGAAATAAGTCGATGTTAAATTTAAACAAAAAGGATAAAACATTGGCCCCCTGGTAATATTAAGCAATTATAGTTAAAATTGTCTTTAAAAATGAGAGAGAGAGAGTTTTGTAATTAAAAGAACAAGACATTGCATCATATTAACAAGGGATTCGACAGATGGAATGCTTGCTTTTGGTATTGACAGGTAGTAGTATCAAAAGGGGGGCATAACTTATAACTTTTGAAAATGTTCATTGAAAGTCCGGTTGCTCCACCCCCCCCCCCCCCCCAATTTATGTTGAAGTATTGGCCAATAAGGGTAATGGGTGATATAGTACGTTTGGAAAAAAAAATTAGTGATCCCCTTCCTTCGAGTCTAGAAAATTTTCCTTTTTTGTAGTTGTTTGTCAAGTTATTTTTTTTTTCTTTTCTGACTGCCCTCCCCTTCCAAATTTACGTCTCTAATTGAAAAAATAAACCGACTGCCAAAACAAAAACTTTAGTGTGTGGAAATTATATAGACATCCTGGATTTTAACAAGCCCGAAGCAAGTCTGAGGGATAAAACTGATTTTTTTTTTCTACGCAGTAACGGTTTACTAGTATACACTTATTTAATGACTACGAGGTGAAACAGTCAAAATGTTGTCCCTCGGTAGTGGGGGAGACCTGGGAAACTGTTGCCCGAGGCCGAATTTTGTTTTATTACCTAACCTACTATATAATTAATCAATTTGAAATAAAAACACACAAACAATCAATAAAAAAGTTTTCACAACTTTAATTCACATACTTGTCTATTAATTAGCTGAATACATAATATAAAGATTAAATTAATATTTTTAATTTAAAGTAATTCTTAATAAATTGATTGTTTGTGTGTTTTATTTAAATTTGATTAATTATAGAGCAGGTAAATAGTGACGTCGTGTTCATCAAAACGCTTGAATATCACGGTGACGCTTTAAACAGTCAACAGTTCATGCTGTGGCCCGGTCAACAGTTCACTGTTTCATGATCACGCAAAAACATAAAGTAAACCGTGAAACAGTTCAAAATGCCTAATTATAATTTATATAGTAGGTTAGGTAATAACAGAAAATAGTATCTGGCTCCATGTGGATAACGACTGGTGCATTGTGGCTTCAGCTCGTTCTGTTTGATACAAATTGACATATTTTCTAAATAACTGATAGCCGTACAGAAACTAACGAAGTAGGACATGTGTCCTTGTGTATAACTTAGAGTTCATTTATTTCGCTAATGGTTGATAAGGGTTTAGATTATATCTTCGGAGGCACGAGTTCTATAGAGTGCAAAAATGCAACTTAGACTGGAATTCTGACGAAAGATGCGCAACTTAAACTGGAATTAGGACAACTGTTTCGACGTTACATTCACCAAATGCCATATAACAAGAAACTGGTTATAACATCCGAAGGTCGTAATGTTGGCAACGAGTCGTTAATACAAACCAATGTAAAAATGTTTCCATTTAACTCGGCTTGGAAATGTAAAATACCTCGAAAAATACGCCAATACCTATGCTAAATGTAATAAACTTTTAATAAATTAAGTACATATATCGAAAGCTGATTTTTGATTTTGATGAAAACAAGATACTTTTGAGAAACACTGATGCACCTGTATGGCAGCTCACAGCGAACGTTAAAGGTACTTGGACACAGATTTGAAGTTAATATTTTCTCATTTTTTCTGTATAATATCACGAATTATATATTTTAATAGCATTTCACACAAAAATTAATTAAAAATCTTATTTCGTTTAAAAGTTATTAAAACTTTAAATTTTTTGGCGGGTTTGATTGACACATCCTTGTACTTTCACAAATTTTAACTTTATTCTTAATCCTTAGGAAAAGTGGCAATTTTGATGTGTTTTAATGAGAAATATTAAAACTTTTATCAAGAAAAATAATTTTATTCAGAGTAGAAATGTTAGAAAGCAAAACACCTTCACAAGTATCGTCATTCCGAACTAAGAGATGCGTGCAGAGTTTAGCAAATCGAGCACACTCGTGTTATGTACACAATTTTTGTAAACAGGGCTCGGGTTCTGTTATTGTTTATATTTAGAATTCACCGGGTGCGTTCAATCGTCACAGTCTGCTTACCACAACTGCACGGACTGACAATATATTGTGTGTTTGTTTTGCTTTCGAACGTGTCTACTCTGAATTTTCTGGATTATAGTATTAATATTTTTCATTTATACAAAACGAGATTGCCACTTTTCCTAAGGATTAAGAATAAAATTAAATTTGTGAGAGTGCAACGATATGTCAATCAAACCCGCCGAAAAATTTGAAATTTCAATATCTTTTAAATGAAATAAGATTTTTAATTAATTTTTGTGTGAAATGCTATCAAAATATATAAGTCGTAATATTATAGAGAAAATAATAACTTTAAATCTGTGTCCAAGTACCTTTAAAGTTTCTCAAATCAAAGTCAAACTCCAAAGTCAAGGTAAAAATGTTGGCACCCAGAAAGGTTAATTTAACTCATTTAGTCATAGAGTTAGACTAAATTTATGGTGCCTAAAGAAATGTCTTTGTCACAAGAAATACACATGTGTGATATGAAGGCCCTAGCGAAAAATGATCAGTATCCCCAAGTTTAATGGCGAATATACCGGTAGCTTGAAACACTGAAAGTGTCTTAATAATGTATTTGTTGCTCTATTTATATAGTAAACATGAAGGCGAATAAGCCAAAATAAAAGTAGGAGAAACAGAAGAAAATGAACACTTAGGCACAGGAAAAATAAAAACTGAAATGATCCATGTCTAATTACAGACATGTATTTACTGTTAAGTCCCATGAGACTTTTATTAATTAAAACATAAATTTATGTTAAAACGAGAAAAAACAAACTCCAGAATAAATAACGTTTAGTAAATCTAAAAAAGTTCAACAATTTTAAATTAAAATCAGAATTATATACGTGTTCATACAATTCACAATGAAAAATATGTTCTTTATTTATGACAACTAGAGCATGCAACCTTCCCAAGTTTAATATATGCACTTTACTTAAATTATAAGGAACAGACAAAACTGTTTATGTATAGTTTTAGAAAACAGATTTTTTTATCCTTACTTGTAGTTATTATCGAACTGAAGTAAATTTTATTTTGTGTTTACAGATCACTCTGTTTGGGCTGTTGTATAAAGACCAGGCAGTATATTTCGTTGTACCCCCCTTCACTGGTCAATATCTCGTGTCAATGACCGAGCGGTGATTTGCCTCAACATATCCGGTGCGCGGTGATTACACTAAATCCGAGTCACTACACTGAATGCCCAAACAATGTTACCCCATATACCGGTATATCACCGTTTACTGTTGGCATAAATTTAATAATGACGTTTTCTTTTTAACATTAAACTTTTTTTGGACAAATTAATGCTGCAATTAATATATACATGTACTTGTAAAAAAATAACCAACTTTTTAAAAGTACATCGCGTAATATTATTCTTTTTAAGAACCTTAAAGACTTACCGCTCAGTCATTGACACAAGAGATATGACTAGTGAAGGGGGGGGGTGGTGGTTACAGCGAAATATACTACCTGGTCTTTATACGAAAAACAACCCCAACAGAATGACATTGCAAATTACATGCACCTTTCTTCTGAAAACTATGGTGTCTGGATAGGACCATTTGCGTTAGCGCGACATCGCGTTCAGATAGACGCGCTGTCGCGCTAACACACAACACGCCGTCGCGCTAACACAACTTTGCACAACGCGCCGTCGCGCTAACACACAATACGCCGTCATGCTAACGCAACTTTGCACAACGCGCCGTCGTGCTAACGCAACTTTGCACAACGCGCCGTCGCGCTAACACACAACACGCACTTTGCACAACGCGCCGTCGCGCTAACACACAACACGCCGTCGCGCTAACGCAACTTTGCACAACACGCCGTCGCACTAACGCAACTTTGCAAGTTTCACAGTCTAGTAGGAAGTCCTGTACGGAAATATAAGACTGCGCATTCTACGGAAGCGTATTTGGGCCGCAGCAGTATTGTTAATTTGTTAAGACAAATTAGTAATTTGTTAAAACAAATTAGTAATTTGTTAAAACAAATTAGTAATTTGTTAAAACAAATTATCAATTTGTTTAAACAAATTACTAATTTGTTATAACAAATTAACAACTTGTCTAAACAAATTAACAACTTGTTTAAACAAATTAATAATTTGTTAAAACAAATTATCAATTTGTTATAACAAATTATTCATTTGTTTAAACAAATTATCCATTTGTATAAACAAATTAATAATTTGTTATAACAAATCAAAAAAAAAAATACTGCTGCGGCCCTAATACGCTTCCGTACCTTTAAGATTCCCAAGACCAATCTCATCCAGAATTTCATCCATTATATGGTTAAGCATGCGCAGTCT